GTGTGTGTGTGTGTGTGTGTGTGTGTGTGTGTGTGTGTGTGTAGAGCTGGTGTAATGTCTTTGTTCTACAGCAAGCGCACACATTAGCACACAGCACCAGATGGTGGGCTAAAATGAGACAACGGAAGAGGGGGAGGAGAAGATAGACAAGATCCTTCCATCATTTCATCATCATCCTTCGACTGTTTCCTCTCCAGAAACACAAACACACTGACATAAATAAAAAAAAATCGGAAACTTCAGTCATATCGCAGTTTTAACAACGATGCAGGACGCTTTAGAAAATAGCTGGAACTGCGTGGAAAGAGTTTCACACGACTCCAGGTGTTTTTGTGCTTCAGATGATGACGGTGCAACGTTGTTTCTTTACCTTAAATCAAGTCGAGTGATGGGAAATGTTATGCTTATCAAGCACTAAAAAATATTAAATACATGTGTAAGACTTTATTATCCGGCCCACGACACGAGGTGTAATTCCCCTTTAATTAAGTGGAATTTCAAAGAATTTGAAATTACAATGTAATTATATTTACCTATAAATACATGAAGGCAGGCACACTAGAACAAGGCAGGTTTGTACAGGAGTAAATGTAAGTAATATTACATACTGCATAACATCACGTATTTCACAATTATCCTGTAAGTACATTTAAGTTGTGCCTAATTTCTGGTTCTTTTACAGGAAGTGCACGTAAGTCATTCTCAGTACTGCATCGTTTCTTGGAAAAACATCGTTTCGCCATCTTACACATACTTGTACATACTCTGTACTTTGTGGAGGTTTGTTCCAGGAAAGGAGACGCTTCTTGACTTTGCTCCCTCGTAGGTCACACAGACACTTCAAACTTTCATGGTATTTATTTTTTATTGTTGGAAATGCAGAACTTCAACATCAACATATGTAACGCACACTTACCCTGTAAGATGGGAAATGCTGCTTGCTTTTACCATAAATTTTCACACAATTATTCCATTGTTTCTTATTCAGGTGCTCCTGCCTTTAAGCATTTGTAGGCAAATATAATTACATTGTAATTTCAAATAATATATCTTTAAACTCCATTTAATTTCAGGAGAATTACACTCTTAGTTGCGAGCAGGACTCGAAAGTGTTACCAGAGCAGAGCAACAGATAAAAAAATGATTACGATTGTAACAAAAACACCACGTTCATAGATTCTTGATACTTTGAGCAGTTATTTTGTTAACTATATTCCAAAAATGAGGAAATGTGGCTCCCAGCTGATGCACTTACAGGTGTACGAGGCTTCTGTTTCAGTGCGCTGGTGAGGGTCAGCAACGCCGTCCTCGGCCACGGCGAGTCGAAGCTTGCGGAGCTGGGCGAATGCTGCTTAAGTAAAATAACTCTCCAGCAAAGTGGGACGATCGTTCGGTTAATGAGGCGCGATAATATTATTAGACTTTCACTGTTTAAGGGTTTTTGTTGTTGAGGTGATAAAAATGTAACCGCAGTGGAAAACACGCCGTGTCTATATGCAGCATTCATATCACCAGCCACAGAAAAGTGATTATTTTATGCCAACGTACATCTAAAGTGCAGAAAGCATGAAACAAACACTGCTGCTACACTTACAAAAGCTCGACTGAACTACACGTTTCCCCATCAGCATCAACCCTGTCGTTAATATGAACTTTGATCTACTGATGATATTTCTAAATGATCTGTAATTCTGCCGCTACCTTTCTGACCCGGCCTGTAAACCATCCACTCCGTCACACTGTACAATTATTATTATTATTATTTTTTTCTTTTTACAATTTTTTTTCTTTTTTTAAATTTATTATTTATTTAATTTTTTGTAATCAATTTTTAAATGTTTTTGCACACTTTTCTTATTTATTATTTATTAATGATTTTATTTTGCATTAATTGTTTTATTTTTGGCATACAATTTTTTTAACGTATTTATTTTAATTTTTATTTATTTATTTTATTTTGTATTCATTTATTTATTTATTGTTGCACATATTTTTTTTAAATTATTATTTATTTTATTAATTGTTTTTATTATTATTTTTATTAACTTCTGAAATAATTTTTGGGGGGTTTTGTTTCTCTACTGTAACTCTGTTTTTCCCCATCAGCATCAACCCCGTCTTTAATATGAACTTTGATCTTCTGATGATATTTCTAAATGATCTGTAATTCTGCCGCTACCTTTCCGACCCGGCCTGTAAACCATCCACTCTGTCACACTGTACAATGCACTAATTAAACACAGAGACGGGCACTTTAAAAGCACTGGTCCCTTTTAAAAACTCTCACCGCTGAGACAGCTGCGCTTGATGACTACCACCGCCCTGAAATCCCTCGCCCGCATATCCACACGCTGTTCTACACTTCAGCACATTAAAATTTCAATCAAGGAGTGTGTTCACAGCTCCATTATGCAAAACTGTAACTGTATTTGCTGCTCTTGAAAAGTGTTGTGACTGCTGAATAAATACCACCAGCTGTTAATTAGACAGAGGTGAATTCTAGTGGGGCGGACGGCCTGACAGGACAAGTGAAGGAGACAGAGAGACATTGGAGGGGAGAAAGGAGAGAGAGGCAGAGGAGAAGCTCTGAAATACTGCACATTCAAAAGGACGAAACCACACCCACACAGGCCAAAATGAGCAAAAGTGAAAGCGTGTCCCAGTTTCTGTGTCAGCAGTCCAAACAAACTCACACGTTTCTGTTTATTCACATATCTGTTAAACACATTCATCACAGATCTGTTTAATGGGGCTGTCAACACTCTGCTGGTTTTAACACCACATCTGTCCTTTGTTGCTTTGATATCATTTGATATCATCTTATTCCCTTAATTTAGCATCAACTACTGAAACAGTTCCCGGTTCTCACAGTAAAGCAGGGATCTAATAAGACGTGCTGGGCAGACTAAATCAAACACTGTGACAAATATGAGGCTTCACTTCCCTCTACAGTGATGAAGGTGGAAACGTTACAGTGCAGTCCATTGTATATAATCAATAGCTCGTAAGCATTTACCTTTTTTGCTCCTTTGTCCATTTAAAGATGTGCTTTGTGGTTATTTACTTCTTTAACAGGTCATAAGAAGTCAGTTCAGTCATAAATGGTCTGAACCTTCATTAACAACACAATGAAATAAAGAGGTGCCCCTGAATCGAGCCTGGTTATGCTTCTCTCCAAAAACAGAATTCAGAGAACAATACTTGGCCTACGGGACACTGTGGGGCATCGGTGCAGAAGGACAACACTTGTGTGTTTGTGCTGAGTGAGTGTGTGAAGGAACAAGCAGGACCAATGGGAGTTTAGTTTCCTGAGCAGGTGAGACTTGAAGCTTAACTCACAGGAAAGACTATCAGGGTAAATGTATTATTTCCATCTTCAGTTCAAGCAGCCAGACGTTTTGGTTCTGATGTGTGATTTCAAATCGATTTCACAGCTTTATCAGCATTCATCTCCATTTTCTGTCCAGGGAAGCATATCACTATGGCCACCTGCTCTGACCCATCCAGGGGTTTGTCCAGAACATCCCACGGCCGCTCGACTGGACTGAGATCTGGGGAACGAGGAGGCCAAGTCAAACACCTCACACTGCTGTCGACTCAGCCTGACTTGAAATGGCCAGTATGACCTCAGGACTGGTTATCCTGACCACTTCACCTGTCGGCGGTCAGGATGTTGTGTCTGATCGGTGAACTCGGGTATATGGAAATCACACGTGTCGTCGCACCTGAGCGTGCACTCACGCTTTGGACTAAATAACTCGATCGGTGTTAAAGTGCAGTGTGTTTCTCAGGTTTCTCCGCTTCATGTACTTTGAGTTTTTCTCCTTTGCATGAATACAGCACAGGCAGACCCTCAGTAAGTGCAGCTGAACATGTTGTTGTTTTTTACACCAACACAACATAAAGGAGAACATAAAAACAATGACGCACTCCACCTTAAACTGGTTCGCGAGTTTTCTTTGCAAGTATATTATTATCGAGCAGTAGAGCGATTCTGAGTGGACACGCAACAGGATGACAAGTGCAGACATTCAGGCACACATCTCAGAGAGGCATCCCTGGCAGACTGTCATGGAGTTCACACATGCGTACATGGCGAGTGATCACATGTGCACGCACAAACACATCGCCCCGCTTCCTGTCTGCACAAACAGAGTTTCCTATGGGGCTCAGGGTCACAAGCTCACGTCTGTACGTGGAACTTCCCGGCAGCCGCTGAGGAAACATCAGTCGACGCGAGTGGAAAGAGACACAAGAGGGAGAAAGGCATAAAAAGCAACATGAAAAGGAAGAAGACGTAGGAAAAATGAAGCGGCGTTGTGAGACGGGCGGACCGGAGACAAAAGCAAATGTGACCAAATGAAAAATGTGATCTCTGTGCAGTAAAAATGATAGTTATCACCATCTGTGACAGAGCCACAGGTGTGCAGCACAACCAGGATGAAAGCAGAAGGGAACTAAATAACAAAACATTTATAAAACGAGTCACGGTGTCGAAGAGCAAATATCCTAAAAAACCATCAGGAGACAGCAAAGACGAAAAGAGCAACAGTTGTGATTATGAGCCGTGCATGCAAAACAGCTAATCATGCAACGTCAGAAAAAGACGGAAAAATAGAATCAAAGTGGTTTAAAGACGTCTTTATTGTTAAAGGCAGTGATGAAATTCAGCACAAACAATGCAGCAGAGGAAGACTGGAAGGAAGACCCGATAATCGGAATAATATCTGCTTCACAGCGGCCTCAGCCGAGTCGTCATGATGACGTTATCTGAAACACTCGGTCACATGACTGCTTAGTTAAGTAAAAAAAAAAAAAGGAAAGGCAATATCACTGAACAGGAAGTGTATCGTCTTTTAGGTCACGCATCATCCGGGCAAGTCTGTTGATCGGACCAAAAACAACATTATGAAAACAAAATCGTTAATAAAAAGCCGGACGGCGCCCCTCTGAGCACATCTTTCACTGTGACTGGCTCTTACCATTTCTCTGGGTAGGAACATGTCTTCCTGCCGGAGGACCACCAGAGACACGCTCTCGCCCTGCCGCGTGCTGCGCAGCATGCACACCAGCTCCTCCTGGCCCACGCCTGTGATATCCACACCGTTTACCTACAAACGCACACACAGAGTCAAGAAACCGCCACCATCGTCCCCATCCTCCTCCTCCTCATCGTGTTTCTTATTCTGGCTCAGACTGTGCTGCACCTCGAGTATGCGGTCTCCAGACTGAAGGCGTCCATCTTTCACCGCAGCCCCGCGGGGCAGAATGTTTTTCACTAGAATCGGACCGGGACCGTGCACCGAAGAATCTCTGGTCACTACAGTAAATCCAAGACCTTCTGGACCTACACACACACACACACACACACACACACATACACACACACACACACACACACACACACACACACATACACACATACACACACACAAATGAATGAAGAATTATAGCGAGTAGCAACAAGTAACAGCTCTTGGCCTATCCTGACACAAATATCCTGTGTAGCTGCCCTTGCTTCTCTATTTTTATTCCCCGAGACTGAGAGTACAAATTTTACACACACACACACACACACACACACACACACACACACACACACA